TTGTTTCATCACGGGACCGTTTATTTGGACTTTTTTTTTTTTTAGCCCTAAAACGTACGATCGCGATCGCGGCAAAAGTTGAAGTTGATTCCTCTTTGTAACAATTTTTAATAACTTTATATTTTATCTTTTATAATAGAAAAGTTATATTCTCTTATTTTAATATGTTCTTAACATTTTGCCTATGTTGTTTCACTTTGAAAAGTTCTGAAAATGGCCTTTTTTTTTTAAATGAAATAATGCTTTTGTTTTAAAATGCCTTTGTTTTTCTTCATTTTGGAAGCCATTTGCATTTTTTATATTTCAAATTTAATGGATGCAAAGATATTCTAATTAATAAAAAGTATAATGTGTAAAAATTTATACAACATACAGCAAAAATAAAGTGCAAAAATCAAACAAACAATGCCGCTAAATTTATTGTTTTGAAATCGCGATCCGCGAGCTTTAACCCTTAATTACTCGCGTCGAGACACAGGTCTCACCTAAAATTTTAATCGAAAAAAAAAATACGATTTTCGAGTCCAAATAATTTGTAAGTTTTTGTAGCCTAAGATAGCATTGAAATAAATATTTTAGACCATTTGTTCTATCGCTTGGCCCCTAGAAGGAAGAAAAATACAACAAAAAAGCCACCGCCTGAGACAAACGTCTCGACGCGAGTACTTGCGTAATAATTTTGGTTTAGGTTTCATTTTCCGGCTGGCTCTATCTTCGTAAAACAGTAAGTTATTGTTCTTCTTCTAAGTATATTTTTTGTTCCTAAATATCCTAAATTCTCTCTCTCTGTCTCTCTTAGGTATTTAGAATTTATTTATTTTTTTCCAATATTTTAATACTAAATATTTCCTAAAATATATTTTATATTATAAAAAATGGCTAGTACTTCTGAGAGGAATCAGAGTGAATCCGACATGGATTGCGATGAAAAAATTAGTGATTTATCCGATACTTCTGATACCGAAATTTATAGTTATCATGACACAGACTCTGAACAGAATTCAGAGGCGGATGAAGAATTACCAAATGATGATCCTGAATTTTATTTTGGAAAGGATGGTGTCACAAAATGGAAAAAGACAATGTGGCAGAAAACCCAGATTCATACAAGAAGTGTAAATATAATTTCTCAATTGACAGGGCCTAAATCTGAAGCAAAATCGATAGAATCGATTCCATTTCGTGGCAGGTGTGGCTTTAGACAGTATATGCCCGACAAACCTGCAAAATATGGGCTCAAAATTTATACCATTAGTGATGCAATAACATTTTATACCTTTAATATTGAAATATATTGTGGAAAACAACCCGATGGTCCATATAAAAAAAAGTAATTCACCCGATGATATCATAAAAAGATTGATCACTCCAATATCTGGGACAAGCCGAAACATAACAACAGACAATTGGTACACTAGTTATAAATTATCCCAAGATCTTCTTACAGAACATAAACTCACTTTAGTTGGCACTTTGGAAAAAAATAAAAAGGAATCCCTAAAATATTTCTGCCCAATAGGAATAGACCAAAATATAATAGTATATTTGGCTTCACTCAGAATACCACCCTTGTATCTTATGTCCCAAAAAAGAGCAAGGCTGTTCTATTGTTCTCAACAATGCACTCAACTCCCGCAATTGACGAAGAAAGTGGATTCAAATTAAAACCTGAAATTGTAACATTTTATAATTTGACTAAAGGCGGGGTTGACATGGTGAACCAAATGTGTGGAACTTATTCTGTTGGCCGTCGAACCAACAGATGGCCTCTGCCTATTTTTCGACCTACTAAATGTTGCAGGCATAAGTTTAGAAATAATTTTCAAGTCTTTATATATAAATTCACCTCGAGTTCCAAGAAGAATCTTTATGAAAAATATTTCCCTACAATTATTCCAGGATCATTTAAAAATTCGATCCCAATTGAAAACCTTGCCAAGAAGTCTCCATGACCTGATAATATTGCATTGTAAGAAAGCTGAAAGTCCAGAGGTAAGTTATATATATTTCATAAAATTATTTAAAATGATAAACATAACAATCTTTTGTTTACCACAGATCGAAATGAGTGTAGAGTCAGAACCTAAGAAGCGAAAACGGTGCTATGTTTGCCCAAGTACCAAAGGTAGTATGACACAAATGATTTGCTACAAATGCAGGAGACACATCTGTCAACGTCATTCTTCGAATATTTGCAAAGATTGCGAATAATATCCGTCTGCAACTTTTAATAGTAGCCTATTTGTAAAACTATGTCAAACATTCATTGTTTTTACTATAGTCATTGTTTCTATAAAAATAAATAAATGTAAAAATATTTTTTGCCTTAATTCACATGTGTCATAAACTACACACAATTACGAATATAATGCAGCCTAATTTTCAATCCAAATATTAAAATTTAACATATATTTCGTTTTTTTAAAAGTGAGACCTGGATCTCAACGCGAGTACTTACGTAACAAATATAGGCGCGAGTAATTAAGGGTTAAACATGCACAAAATTTAGTTTTTTAATTTTTTTTTTATTACAATTCAAAGTTCGTTATAAGCATAGTATTTTTAATAGATTTTATCATTTTGGGACCCGAAATAGGTTCGTTATAGGGGTAGTTCGTTATTCTAAAAATCGCAAAGTTCGTTATAACGATGGTATTTTCAATGGAATGGAATTGGGAATCGGCGTGGGTTCGTTATAAGGGAAGGTTCGTTATATCCAGGGTTCGTTATAGCGGGGTTTTACTGTATGTAGATATGTAGTGCACTTACAGTAAAAGCAGTCAATATAACTACTACTTAACACAATTATTATGGCCTTTACCACACGTACTAGGGATATATGTAAAAAATAATTACAGTTCATATTATCAAGAGTTAAAATGCTATAATACCTTGATAAAGGTTGGCGTTCAGCCAACTGAAATATTGGTAAAATAAATGATATTTTGATCCAATATACAGTAAAACCCCTCTATAGTGAACCCCAATGGGACAGAGCTTTTGGTTCACTATAGCCACAGTTCACTATAGCCACGGTTTGGCTATTTTTTTTTACTTTTCAAAAATTTTAGACCGTATAATTAAAAAACAGCCATACACACAAGAAGAGGCTGCCTCTTAATAGTGGTCACTTTATTTTAATTCCCTTAATTGACTAATTTCCTTATATTAATACTGAATAATAATAGAAATCATTAGATAATAGGTTCTTCTTATGATTAACATACATGTACCTCTATGTCTAAGTTAAAAATCAAGACAAATCCTAGGCAAAGTTTTATTAAATATATATTCAAAGATATGAAATGATTTTAAAACATCATTATCAGATTATATAATACAATTTTTACTTGAAAAAATGGCTCTAATACCTTGTTGTTTCAAAGCATTCTTCCAAGCATTGCACCATTCAAATAAAGTTAGTGTTTTTCTTCCATTTCATGTTTCCCCATATTCTTATAGGTCTATATTTCGTTTTTTTTTTTTTTAACCTGCCATGCAAAACATTGCTGACTTTAAAATTACCATATTTAATGGCATAAAAATAATTTTTGTTTCATCACGGGGCCGTTTATTTGGACTTTTTTTTTTAGCCCTAAAACGTACGATCGCGTAAAGCCATCGCATAAAGCCTATGTTGTTTCACTTGTTGTTTCAAAGCATTCTTCCAAGCATTGCACCATTCAAATAAAGTTAGTGTTTTTCTTCCATTTCATGTTTCCCCATATTCTTATAGGTCTATATTTCGTTTTTTTTTTTTTAACCTGCCATGCAAAACATTGCTGACTTTAAAATTACCATATTTAATGGCATAAAAATAATTTTTGTTTCATCACGGGGCCGTTTATTTGGACTTTTTTTTTTAGCCCTAAAACGTACGATCGCGATCGCGGCAAAAGTTGAAGTTGATTCCTCTTTGTAACAATTTTTAATAACTTTATATTTTATCTTTTATAATAGAAAAGTTATATTCTCTTATTTTAATATGTTCTTAACATTTTGCCTATGTTGTTTCACTTTGAAAAGTTCTGAAAATGGCCTTTTTTTTTTTAAATGAAATAATGCTTTTGTTTTTAAAATGCCTTTGTTTTCTTCATTTTGGAAGCCATTTGCATTTTTTATATTTCAAATTTAATGGATGCAAAGATATTCTAATTAATAAAAAGTATAATGCGTAAAAATTTATACAACATATAGCAAAAATAAAGTGCAAAAATCAAACAAACAATGCCGCTAAATTTATTGTTTTGAAATCGCGATCCGCGAGCTTTAAACATGCTCAAAATTTTGTTTTTTAATTTTTTTTTTTTAATTACAATTCTAAGTTCGTTATAAGCATAGTATTTTTAATAGATTTTATCATTTTGGGACCCGAAATAGGTTCGTTATAGGGGTAGTTCGTTATTCTAAAAATCGCAAAGTTCGTTATAACGATGGAATTGGGAATCGGCGTGGGTTCGTTATAAGGGAAGGTTCGTTATATCCAGGGTTCGTTATAGCGGGGTTTTACTGTACTATATTTTATATTTTATTTTATTTCAAATTTTATATATATAGATTTTATTATATTTTATTTCAAATTTCACAATTTTACTTTTTAATTTTTAAAAATTTCATTTCAACCAACTTTTCAAACATTTCTTTTATATATATTTTGTTATTTTTATTTATTTTTATACGAAAAATCTTTTTACATATAGTACAAATAATTTTAAAATATAAAATAGGCGTTATTGTTAATTTTCAAAATATTCACACCCATATTTTACAAAATTTATTTTGTTCATAATATAAATATATTTATAAAACAACACTTAAAGTTTCACCGCATAAGTTTCTTTTCCTGTGAAAAATCAATATTTATTTCAAAGAGAAATATTTACTATTTCTAACTTTTTTGGATGAAGTATGAAAGGGTGAAAATATGAAGAGTAATGGCGAAGTATGAAGTATGAAAGGGTGAAAATATGAAGAGTAATGGCGAACGGAAAAATAAAAGTGTCCAGGGGCGGGAATCGAACCCACAACGTTCCGCTTACCGGTAAGATGCCATGTCCACTAGGCTACCCTGGACGTATTTTTCCGTTCGTAAATAATACTTAAAGTAACTTATAATACATTATAAAGGGCTGCGGCGTATGATTATAAAACAACGCTTAAAGTTTCACCGCATAAGTTTCTTTTTCTGTGAAAAATCAATATTTATTTCAAAGAGAAATATTTACTATTTCTAACTTTTTTGGATGAAGTATGAAATATGAGGGTATTTTCACCCTCTTTCATACTTCATCCAAAAAAGTTAGAAATAGTGAATATTTCTCTTTGAAATAAATATTGATTTTTCACAGAAAAGAAACTTATGCGGTGAAACTTTAAGTGTTGTTTTATAATCATACGCCGCAGTCCTTTATAATGAATAAATATATTTATTAAATTTTTCTCCCCATTGAATATAACAAAATATTTTTAAAAAACTTAATGCTGTTGATGTTATGTGGCGCTGAGTTTGTTGTTGACACACTTTGAGGTGTTATAACACCTTGATAAAGGTTGGCGTTCAGCCAGCTGAAATATTGGTAAAATGAATTATTTTTTTGATCCACAATATATGCCTTTTTAATTAAAGATTTAATACACTGTAAATAACATTGCTGATCATTGTTACTATTACCTTTATTCCTGTATATACCCTCTTCTATTCAGAGAATCTGTATAAGACCAAACGGTCTAAATAATGTTTTTGTTGTTTTTGATTTTTCCTACAATTTATTAAATAAAAAAGATTGATTTCAGGTATACAGTAGAATAGCCATTAGTGGACACTCATTTTAAAGAATACTTCTTTAGAGAGAACACTTTTTTTTTTTGAAAAAATTACCATGTTTACTAATTCTCTAGTAGAAGGAAACCTTTGACACTCTGGCTCTGCAACGAAGTGCTGTCCTCTACAGAGATTTCTGATGTATTTTTATAAAATTTGCATTGATGAGATAACAAAATAAAAATTCTAACACAGTATCTAATGTACTCTCATGGACAAAACTTAAGGAAGTTGTACCCTTCAGCATGTATATCGGGATTCAGACAATAACTCTGAAAGATACACTCATGGACAAAACTTAAGGAAGTTGTACCTTTTACCATGTATATCAGGATTCAGACAATAACTCTGAAAGATATACTCATGGACAAAACTTAAGGAAGTTGTACCTTTCAGCATGTATATTCTGGATTTAGACAATAACTCTGAAAGATACACTCATGGACAAAACTTAAGGAAGTTGTATCTTTCCGCATGTATATCGGGATTTAGACAATAACTCTGAAAGATACACTCATGGACAAAACTTAAGGAAGTTGTACCTTTCAGCATGTATATCGGGATTCAGACAATAACTATGAAAGATACTCTCATGGACAAAACTTAAGGAAGTTGTACCTCTCAGCATGTATATCGGGATTCAGACAATAACTATAAAAGATACTCTCATGGACAAAACTTAAGGAAGTTGTACCTTTTAACATGTATATCGGGATTCAGACAATAACTCTGAAAGATACACTCATGGACAAAACTTAAGGAAGTTGTACCTTTCAGCATGTATATTGGGATTCAGACAATAACTATGAAAGATACACTCATGGACAAAACTTAAGGAAGTTGTACCTTTAAGCATGTATATCGGGATTCAGACAATAACTATGAAAGATACTCTCATGGACAAAACTTAAGGATGTTATACCTTTCAGCATGTACAGTAAAACCCCGCTAATACGAACCCTGGATATAGCGAACCTTCCCTTATAACGAACCCACGGCGATTCCCGATTCCATTCCATTGAAAATACCATCGTTATAATGAACTTTGCGATTTTTAAAGTAACAAACTACCCCTATAACGAACCTATTTTCGGTCCCAAAATGATAAAATCTATTAAAAATACTATGCTTATAACAAACTTAAAATTGTAATTTAAAAAAAAAATTAAAACAACAAAATTTTGAGCATGTTTCAGCTCACGGATCGCGATTTCAAAACAAAAAAATTAGCGGCATTTTTTGTTTTCATTTCCATTCTATTTGTGCTGTATGTTGTATAAATTTTTACACATTATACTTTTATTTAATAGAATATCTTTGCATTCGACAAATTTGAAATAGAAGAAAAATACAAATGGCTTCCAAAATAAAAATAAAAAGAAACAAAGGGTGGCGTTCTAAAAAAAAAAACAGTGGCAGCATGCCCTTTTAGAAGCGTTCTATATCAAGTTTAACCTAGGCTAAAAAATAATTCCAAATAATTTTAAAGCCAGAAATGGTTTGAATAACAGGTTAAAAACAAAATTTAATATACACTTAAGAAGAATATGTAGAAATTGGAATAAGAAGAAGAAAAAAAAAACAGTTCCCCCAAGTTCCCCGTGTCTCATGGACCACAAACAAATCGACTTATAAATTGTCAAAAACTACCACTACAGTTCTATTTTTAGAATGGAATTCTTGTTAGGTATATGACTCATCCAGGGTTCGCGGATATTCCCCCTGGCCGGCCGTTTTACTGCTGATTTTGTGTTTACAAATTGGCGTTTTTATTCGCAATTTTACCGATCGCGCTATCGTATCAACATGTTTCGCGTCCGATTTTTCTGAATTGGATACTTTTGATTCATCCTCAATTGATTCAGAATACACGGAGCTTTATTCCTTTGAGAACTTTATTCCTTAAGACAATTCTGATTTTCAAATTTCACTTTTCACTTTCAACAACAAGGTATTAGAGGCACATTTTTCAAATAAATATAGTATTATATTATTTGAGAAAGATGTTCTAAAATACTCTTATACCTTTTAAATATATAATTGGGGGTCGGTGGAAGGCTGGTTAAACCGTTTGGCTTACGACCACTACGACCCGGGTTCGATCCCCGCATTGGACACTTTTTCTGTTAAAAAAAAAAAAAAAATGCTCCAATGGCCCCCCGATTCTTGCAAAAGTCCAACCCCACCAGCGAGTGCAAGTAACCAAACGGGGCTCTGGCACATTTGTAAGTGCAAAGTCGAACTGCTTTCACATGTGTAGACATGTGGTGCGCTTACAGTAAAAAGCAGTCGCTTACTACCCACCATGATTATCATGGCCTGTACCACGTGTACTAGGGATAAGCAAAAATATATATATATACAGTAGAACTTGGATAATTCGAACTTCTTTAATTCGAAAACCTCTTTAATTCGAATATTCATCTTGGTCCCTTGAATTTCCTATATAAATAATTTAACATCTTTAATTCGAATTTTTGGATAATTCGAATTTTTTTATGGTCCCTTGGGGTTCGAATTATCCAAGTTCGACTGTATATATTATATTTAAAAAAAAAAGATATATTTTCTGTTTGAATTTAGATCATGTTGAGGATTATGGTAATGGTGATGCAGTCGTGGCTAAAATCTTGAAAGTAAAATAATAAAAATAGTAAAGATTAGAAATTGCTTTAATTGAGCTTTAGAATAAACATAATTTGGTAAAAGTACTGCCTGGCTTAAGGCGAGTAGAATAATAAAAACAAAAAATTATTTCCATAATGTATAAAAGTTTTGGGTCGGCCACGGGGAAGAACAACAATGTGATTTTATATGGGAAGCGTGACCTCTGGCGGTCGATTTATACAGAGTATTTATATCTATGAAATTATAATTTTTTTTAAATAAAATATTTTAATATAACATTTTAAATAATATCTTAATATAACATTTTTAAATAAAATATTTCAATATAACATATATAATTAATAATGTTTTGCCTAGGGGATTTGGCTTAATTTTTAAATAATACATAGGTTTATATATAAACATGTATGCTAATGATAAGAAGAACCTATTATCAAATGACTTCTTTTGATATTCAGCATTACTGTAAAGAAATAGGTCAATTTAGGGAATTAAAATAAAGTGACCATTATTAAGTGGCTGCCTTTTCCTGTTTGCATGGCTGTTTTTTAATTATATGGTCTAAAAATTTAGAAAAGTTTAAAAAAATGGCAAACCGTGGCCATAGTGAACCGTGGCTATAGTGAACCAAAAGCTCTGTCCCATTGGAGTTCACTATAGAGGGATTTTACTGTATATCGTGATTTAGACAATAACTCTGAAAGATGATTTAAGGTACAATTTGGATTATAGATAAGAAATAAAAGGTAATAAGATCAAATCCGAATAGATAAATAGTGTGTAACTTTTTCAGTAACAACGCTGTTACAGAAACATCATACACAATTTATTTATTTGGAGATTTGGACTTATTACCTTTTAACTCGGAAGATATTTCATACAGAGTGACCTTTATTGAAGACACCCGAGATGACCAAGTGTGAAAAAAATTTCCTCTGTCTCATTAAAAGAAAGAAGGCTTTCTACTTCCTTAATTTTGTCCATGAGTGTGTGTTGATGGAAGATGGCTACTAAAATTCATCCTTATTTTTAAAATACTTTATAGAACCTTTCTCTAAAAGAGAACACCTAGTTACAGGGTCAACATGTCCTTTAGAGAGAGGTGTCCTCTTACTGGAGAGTTGCTAATTGATAAAAATGGTAATTTTGACAATGAAAAGCTATTCTTTTGAGGGAGGTGTCTTCTAGTGAGAACATTCTCATAGAGTTCTACTGTATTATTTATTTTATTATGAGGATATACTATTTCTTTGCATTGAATCTAGAAGTATGTACAGTAGAACCTCCCTGTAAAGAACACCTCAGAGTCAAAATGTCATTCACAGAGAGGTATCCTCTTACCAGAGAGTTTCTAAATAGCAAAAATGATAGTTTTTCAAATGAAAACTATCCTTTATAGAGAGGTGTCCTCTTACCGAAGAGTTGTTGTTGTTGTTGTTTCTTATCCCCTTGTGTAAAGATTACACAAATTCCATGAGTTCATGATCTCATGGAATGGGGTATAGGGGTGCAGCTTTCGTTGATCATGGCACCATGATCCAGGCACACTTTGGTGAAAGTCTGACTTTGCCTGTAATTTGAGGCCGTTCCTAACATGGAAGCTTTTGCTGCCGACTCTAATATG